AGGGAGAGAGAGAGAGAATGCTTTAGTTATTTTTTGGGGGACAGGGGATGTGTCGCATGGGAACGCATGGGAAAACACAGGAAAACACGCAACGCAACACAACGCAGCGAAATGAAAATTGATTTGTTATGAAAGTCGCTCGTCTCTTGTGTGTTGCTGTTGTTATTTTTGTTGTTTAAGTTGTTGTTGCAGTTGTTGTTGTTGTTGTTGTCAGATTGGGTTGGTTCGGCTTCGGTTGATTATGATCAATGCCAGCCCAGTCTGGGCTAGTTAGCTGGATGGCTGGCTCTGGCTCTGGCTCTGGCTCTGTTAGCCATTTATCTATCTGCTTTTGGCCATATATCTATGGCTATGTATGTATTTCCATACCCATTTCCATTTCCATTTCTATATCTATATTTTTATATATCGTACGTGCGTATTCTCTCCCCCTTCCCACTACCTCCTAACTCTCCCACATCTGTGGGCTCGTCGCGCTAATGAACTTAATTGCTTGCAATGGGACTATTAACAGTTAACTACGAGACTCGCACAGAAATACTTAATGACAAAAACCTAACCAAATCGTTCACACACTTCAGCTGCAAATGGAACTCATTACGTATTTATTTGTTTTTTCTTTTCTTTTTTTTCTTTTCTTTTTTTTTCTTTTCTTCTGTTTTTTTGTTGTTTTGCGTTGCTTTCTTCTGCTGCCTTCTTTTGTTTGGTTTTAATTCCAAATATACCCATTAGTTACAGTTGAAAATGAAGGGTTTGCTTGACTGTCGAGAATTGAGAATTGAGTCAAAGCCTATTTCATTCTAATCAAATATCCAATAAATGGCGAATTCAATATTTAACAATTAACACTCAGATTTCATAAGCAAAATTCTGGAATGGTTGCGATGAGTTGTGCCTGCGTCTGGTTCTTGTAGTTCTTCAAAAATCTTAAAGCTTTTTACACAAACATATTTAAATTGAAACATTGGAAATTTCACTGGAAGCTAACTAAGTACTATCAACCAAGTATATAGTGGCTGTATTAGCTGATTACGTGGCAACAACGTGGTTGGGATTGATAGAAAGTGTTTCGATACTATTTGTTAATATGCTGGTGCATGTCGCATTGGGTATGCGCGACATGCAACGCACGCATCAACATTCAACGGGCAACAATGGCGATCCAGCCGCAAGCCTTGCAATGGGGGGCGCCACGCATGCGTGCCCCAAGAGAGCAAGCGGTTCACATTTTGTTTGATTGTGCCTGACTAATTTCGCTTTCGTTATGCGATGTTGCGACGCATTGTTGTTATTGTTGGATGTTGTTGTTGTTGTTGCTGTTGTTGTTGTTGTTGTTGTTGGTAGTTTCAGTCTAAATGTCTTGTAGTTTGGGCTATTATGTATAATTTAATGGTCATTAAATGGGTTGGCATAATAGCCAAACAGGAATGGAAACGGGAATATCAATACACACACACACACACACACACACACACACACACACACACACATAATTGTAGCCATAGCTTTTGTTTGGAATGGCACTGCGAATGGTTATGCTAATGGTAATCGTTGGTTCGCTCGTTGGTTCAGTGGTTCGTTCTACAAATGGCAGCACTTTGTGACGAGTGCAACGACCCACAAAATCAGTTATCTCTCTCAGATCGGGTAGCCTCGATTTAGTTAAGTGTAATTCCATTCCAGTCAACTCCACCCGCCTCCAATCAAAGCTCACATTCGTGCATCAGCTGCATCAGCTGCATCAAGTGCATGCAGCTGTGCGCCTCACAAAACTTTGTTAGCATTTCAAATATGCTTTTCTCTCTGCTCTCGGCAAGGCAACGATAATTCTGTCCTGCAATGTGTGCCTCATGTGGAAGGAGGCCAGATTTGAGTACTCACAGAGAAGCTACCTGGTATAGTACATTAGAAGTGCAAGAAGTTTATCAGTGAATTGGTTTTTAAGTTGCACACTACAGTTTAAGAGGAGCAAAAAGAAGAGACAAGTCTTGCAATATTCACAAGTGTTCTCTGCCAATTTATAGTTAAGATCAGATTGAGGATTATTTATACATTTGTAGCTGCAAGTGTATTGAAAATTCGACCACTCAAAAGCGACGTTTTTCAAATCAATTTAACCCGTCAGCTTGAATCGAGTCAAATCAAGCTGAGCCGAAGGTCAGTCACAACATCAGACACACACACACACACACACACACACACACACACACACACACACACACACACACGCAGACAACTAATGTGAATTGACAGCTACTAATAATGAACAGAAATGCATTGACAAGCAGATCTGTGATTAGAAGTGCTCTTGCCATAGGCCAACCTACGATGATTATACCTACGATTTAGACACATCTCAAAATAGACTCGTTGCTCGTAGCACGTAGCACTTAACTCGTACCTGCAATGAGAAGAAGACAAAAAATCGAATGTTTAAAATTTGTATTTGTTAAATATTAAACAAGGCAGATAAGCACAGACAGAAATAAATAATTCGATTTGGGATTGTAAAAAAAGAGCGAACAAAAAAAAAAACAGGGGAGACGGAAACAAGTAAAAATCATAAAAAATGAACTGACGAACGGTGTGATACTGTGTGATATTCAAAATAATATACATTTTGATATGCAATTATTATTAATAATTATATAAATAAACTTCATTTGTTTGTTAAGCTTTAGATGAGTGTATATATGCTGATGAGTTGGACAAATAAAAATCACTTTTTTGGCCAACATTAATGGCTTCTTTTGTCTGTTACATAAGAGCCGCTTACGACCGCCACTGGCGCTTATGATTACAGGGTATACATAATCGAAATGTTAAATTGGAAAATAATGTAATCTATGTATGGGCTGGCAAGCGTGTTCCATAGACTACTTGTATGTAACATACAATAAATATGTACATATTTTCAAAGCTTCTCGATTTTATTTTCAGTTTCGTTTTTTTTTTCTTTTTTCTTTTTCAATATATGGAATTTTTAATCAAAAGACAACCGGCCGGACGACGAGTGAACACTTACTTACACTGACAACAAGCACAACACATCTGTGTGTGTGTGTGTGTGTTT